TTGGCCCCAACCATAGTTAGTCCATTCCATAGGCTCTCCCAGGGCATACCCCTTGAGGATTGTGGGAATTTGAGGCTTCCATTTGTGCGACACAAGAACCAAGAACATCTTAGTAATGCTTCAGTCTGAACTTCTATTCTTTTTTCCACACTGCTCTACAGTCTATTAGATTATTCCCAATTTAGTGCAGACAAGATTCCAAAGGTCCCAAATGTGAATCAGAGCAAAGACTCACCATTTTGTCAGCTTCCTGAAACATTTGCCTCTTTTGCTCACATACCACTCTCTGCTTCTGTTGCTTTTGGATCTGCATTTCTCTAGTTTCTCAGGACTGGAAGGATGGCTTTTATTATTTTCCTTTCTGTCATCGTATCTTATATGCAGCATAATCAGCAAGCCCAGTACCTAGTGGTCACAGGTAGAAAGAATCTACTCCCTGAACTATCATTATGGAGGCAGTTTCTCATTGCTGTCATTAACATAGGACTGTGATCCTGGGACAACCAGTCCTTTTCATTTCTTCTATTTCAATTCTAATCTTCTTTTCAGCTCATATGATGTTGTCCCTTAATTCACACAACACACACACACACACACACACTCACTCGCCCACCAAGAAGATGTTGGAGAACAGATGAAGTGCATGGAAAAAAATGATAAAACACTTTTATTTTTCAAAAAGGAAATCATTCTATTGTTAAGAGATTGCCTTGCATATCTTAGTATTATTTCAGAAAGATCTTAGTAATGACCTAACTTGGTCAGCGTGCCAATTTCCTGCTCCACCTCCATTTTTTCCTCTTTTATTATTCTCACCAACTACATCTTACGTTATTTTTCATATTCACAGCCAAATCTGTACCACTGCTCTTCAACTTCCAAAAGCTAGAATGCCTGCCAATTTTCTTATTCTAAGCTATCTAGTCTTTGCTTCCACCATCATGGGATTGCTAATTAAGCCCCTTGATCCTGCTCATTTGTAGCCATCTCATTTAAATAATCCTTGGTCTTTCCCCTTCCTTTCCAGTCCCCAAATATTATTCCATGGAAAGAACTACTACCAGTGGTTAAACACAACCGTTATCCCTTCACAGAGTTTTTCCTACTGTTAAGAAATCCTGCAGTAGTTGTAATCAGAACTCTCATATGTAGGTGACTCTCTTGATGCTGTCACTGATGTAGTAAAGTGTTTTTGGCAAACTTTTTCCCTAATAAGAGGAACATAAAAGGGATATTTATTCTCTACCATTGTGAAGGGAAGAACAAGAGTAGACAAGGATGTTTCTTCTAGTCACAAGGACTATAACTTCTGTTTCATTGTTGGAGCTCTTCTAAGACTTGGCAATGTATGTGGATAGTTTTGGGTAGTTAATTTGATCCTGCAGCACCATTTGGAATATGATGACTTGAAAAGAATGCTTGCGAACAAGCTTTGGGGGTATGACCTTGCTATAGAGTTAATCATATCCCCTTTAAATTCATATGTTGAAGCTCATAACCTTAATTTTATTGTATTTGATAGGATTTTAGGAAATAGGATAAATAAGGTCATAAAGATCCTAGTGCAAGAGGAACCCAAACACAAGGCCATGTGAGGACATAGTAGAAAGGCAGCCATCTGCAAGCCAAGAAGAGACTCTCCCAAGAAACAAACTCAGGCAGCATTGTTCTTGAACGTCCAGCCTCCAAAATTGTGAGAAGTAGATTGCTGTTGTAGAAGCTGCCTAGTCAATGATATTTTATTATAGCAACCTGAACTAAGACAAACCTGTTCATAAACCCAAAATTCAGTATAATGACCCATTTTGATCAGATTATGTCCAACAAACTTGACAGTTATTGACATTTGTTTATAAACTAAATGTATGTAAAATATAGGTTGAAGTCGAATTTAGATAAATATTCTTTATGTGTAAGTAAATGAATGAATGATAAATTCTGTAGGTTCCTAAAGAGAATCCAGTCAGAGATTAACCTACTAAACTTTGGCTAAAGACCAAAAACCTCTAGTATGCATTGATTTCCTATGTGCCCAACACTTCTTGAGAACAATAACTATATCTTTATTTAAAAAAAAAAAAACTTCACTCATAGTAGTAGTAGTATGGAGGCTAGCTGAATTGAAACAAAAACTTTCTTGACTGGTTATTTATACACCAAAATTAATGACAATCATATGGAGTGTTAGCTCTACAAGAATACTTTCAGGAAGGTAAGTATGGACAGGCAGGATATCGCATAAATTTTTTGTAGCTACTACTGTTCTTAGCTGCCGGAACATTTTTCTAATAAAGTATAGTCTTAATATTTTTTGGAAGGAAATTGTGTTAGTTAGGTTTCTGTTGCTGTGGCCAAAATACCTGGAGAGAACAACTTAGAGGAGAAAAAGTGTATTTTGGCTCATGGTTGCAGAGGGTTAGTTCATGATGGGCTGACTCTGTTGTTCTGGTCCCATGGTGAGATAGAAATCATGGTGGAAGGGTGTGGTGGTGGAATTCTGCTCACCTCAAGGGGCAGGGAAGCACAGAGAAAGAAGGGAAGAGATTATAGGGAAAATGAATTCTTCCAGGACACAGTCCCAGTGACCCTTCTCTTCCAGCCACACCCACCTGACTACCCAACCAGTCCCTTCAAATTAGGATGGACTTACTAGGTTACAGCTCTCACAATCTATTCATTTTTACCTTTGGAGGACATCCCATATTTAAAGTCTAACAGAAATTCTTATCTACTGTTTTTAGAAATAGAGGAAGAAATAAAATTTATATTATAAATATAATATAAATATATTATATTCAAAAGTGGAAAGGGGTTTAGAATTATATTTGGCTTGGGGTTACCGATAAGTCTTTTGGAATTTGGTGATTTGTTTTGTCTTCCCAGTAATTTAACATCTGGTGAGTCCAGGCATTTGTGTGGCATTGTAGGTCTGTAATGATATGCAAAACCATCCATATAATGTACATTTGGGTTTTGACTTTTTCAATTGACACAGCCATCTTCCTCCAAGATTTATCCACATGAATCCCAAATAAGTATGTACTTACATTGGTTCAGTAAAACTTTTGATTTGAAGGAAAATGGTCAGCATCTAGTGTCCACTTGAGTGATTCCTTCACTCTTGAGTGAGCAGTGATGACTATGACACAAGCCAAATGTTTTTAGAAACCCCATGTTTCTTCAGGGGTGTGGTAAAGGGCTTGTGCTGACAGGGCCTCAGGTTGTGAGAGGGTTTAGAACCAGCAGAGTATGGTGCAGACTGTTATGCTCAGTAGACGCTTTCTAGAACTCTACTGAGTGCCAAGCATTTCAAAATGGGGACAAAAGTAGACAAAATAGAAGTAGCTAACCTTTGCTTATCACTTACTCATTTTAATCCTGACCGAAGTCATATGCACATGGTACTTTTTTTAAAAGTTGTCATTTTCACAGGCAAGGGAACCAGGGCACAGAGATATTAATTAACTGCTCTGTGTCATTTAGGTGTAATGATCAAGCCACTATTCTGTCTCTTACAGATTGATTCCAGAGACTTCTCTTTTGACTACTTTTTAGAGAATCTCAATTATCTACTTACTTATATATTTAAGGCTATTTGTATGTCATTATTTATTTACTTATGGTTCTCATTTACTATTTATTTATTCATTGTTCTTAACAACATTTAAGATGAGAAGAACTGCATGAGAAAAAGAGAGAGCTGTGAACATACTCAGAAAACTGCTTAGTAATTTGTAAATATATGTTACTTTTATTTATTGTATTTGTTCCATGTGATTAGGCCTCTTGAATCTAATTCTCATTTTTTGATATAAAACTTTTGTTTTTTGCCTCATTTGGGGAGGCGTTAAATTCACAAACATTGTATTTCATTCTCTAGTGCTTCACATGATACATGCATCCTAAAATTGGTCCTGTCTTCCATCTGATACTGCTATTTATTACATTAGAAATACCTTATACATAAAACATGCAATATATAATAATTATAAACCCCTACCTTTGTACTTTTCATTTTATATATATATATATATATATATATATATATATATATATATAATTTCATATATATATAATCTCATATCACATGCATGAGAAAGATTCCCTTCCCAATATTTAAAGGAGAATCCAGAGTATTGGGGTAGTCTTTTTTTTTAACCTATATTTCACTTATTTTTTTTATGTGGTGCTGAGGATCGAATCCAGGGTCTTGCACATGCGAGGCGAGTGCTCTACAGCTGAGCCACAACCCCAGCCCCTGGGGTAGTCTTTTTTGACAATGGTGCTCTCTACTATAGGAGGAACCATGTATTTTACTGACCTATCTACTTTTAATGAAAGCAGCATGCAGTGAATCCAGCCAACTGTACTAAATGTTAGAAATCTTAGGCTTCTCCTTTGAAAATCACATTGTGCCTTGCACTACAGTGAGGGTTTTAAGGGTGAGGACCACATGTTCCTTCCATTGATTCAGAACCTGAGCTGCGGTTGCTACTTCCTACTCACCGACTGCTACTGCTACCTGCCTAAAAATTGTCTTTGGCTCCCTGTAAACCTGCAGTTAGAAAGGTATTTGAATTTTCCCCCTCCAGCACTTGCAAATCCGATTTTTATGTATAACTAAGTGCTCTTAGTTTTTACTCTATCTACTACTGGGGCCTGGTTTCTACCAGGCCTGTAACTAAGCCAGATCCGGCCTATGTAATGCTGTTTGTAATGAGAAATCTAAACAGGGAATGGCAGTGAGGCATGGCAGGAATGTGTTTCCATTGGAGAAGTCAGTGTAGAGAAAAAGTATAAGCAAAGCCATGTCCAGAAGGCCTTCTCAGCTGGCCAAGACGGAAGACTAATGTTATTGTACATAGGCAGTTACCCTGCCAGCCCTTCCTCACGGATTTGCTTTCTCTCTGTTGCCCTCCTGCCCCCTCCCTCCTTCATCTCTCCCTTCTCTTTCATTTTCTTCTCTCTTTCTACGGACTCCTTGCTGGCTGTTTGCTCAGGTGGACAGTGACACCATTTGGAACGAGCTGCACTCGTCCGGTGCTGCACGCATGGCTGTTGGCTGTGTCATCGAGCTGGCTTCCAGAGTGGCCTCAGGAGAGCTGAAGGTGAGGTCTGGGTTGCATTAAGTGTGGGAAATCCAGAAAAGAAGCTGAAACTGAGATGTTGTTGTTTGGGAATTGTGGGGACTGTGGTGTGGTAATAAAAGGAAGGAGATGGAGGGAGGAGGGCGGAGAGATGGCCACTAAGGTGTGATAATAAACTCCTCTGTAGGTAGACAGCAGCTGATCCTGCTCTTAGGGCCTTCCTCTCCTGGAGTATATTCTGTGGTCAGGGCACACTGGTATGTTTTTAAGAGCGTAGAAATGGTGAGTAAAGTCATGGTCTAGGTTAAAAATACCCTTAGTGTATACATATCTGTCATGCCATCCTGGGATTCTTTTTTGAAACAATTTTAAAAATATGATTACTGAGTAGTATGTATAAGCTCAGAATACCACCCAGAGAGAGGAGGGGGGAGAAAGGTAAATACCAGACGGGAAGGATTGGGAGGAAGAAGGAAATTGTTGATTAGGAGGGTAATGATCCAGAGTATGTTTTTCCATGAAAGAACTTCAAAAATGAGCTATGCTTTATTGTTCTTTTCTTTTTATGGTCTCTTCTTTTCTACATCATATGAAACGAACAATGTCTAAACCCCAACGTTTCCCAGTCTAAACAATTTATAAAAGCCAGAGACCTGACAGACGTTGACATTTTATTTGGTATTTTAACAGTGCTATTTAAAGGTATGCCATGTGTGCCTTGAATGCAGTTACCCCAATAAACTTTGTTGGTGCTAACACAGCTTTATAATGCACTAGTTCACACACTTCATAACCCAATCTGGATGGTGATTGATCCGGTATTTTTAGCAATTGTGGGGCTTAAGGGAAATATATTATGACCAACAACACATGCGTTGTGAGTTTTGTTAATCTAAGGTAAAAATCTAATTAGGATATTTTTCTTTATGTGTAATGAATTTTTATTCAGTTACACCTGATTCTTCCTTCTACTTAGGTTTTAAAATGTAGGACTGGAATGCACACTTTACAATGCATCATCTGTCCCAGAAGTCACAATATGCAGAAATAAAATTTTGATGAGATGAGCTATATTAAAAAAAAAAGAACTGTCTCTGTAAATTTGACATGATCAGTGTGAGGACGCTAACTGCTCATCTTGGGGCTTTTTGGAGCCATTAACCTGGTAGTTAGTATTCAGGCTTTACCTTTAGTAATGAGAAGTTAAAAAGTGGAAGGGAATCAGCTCCATGGGCAGGTTTTGACTATCTCCCAGTCCAGTAGCATTTTAAGAATAATTCTTCCTGTGTGAGTAATGTTACATACTATAATAAGTTGGCATTTTAAAAGAAGAACATTTGAGGGCCTTATTTTCAGGAGAATTCAAATGACAGACAATAACCAGAACACAAAATTATAATGTTTAATATTAAGCTGGCACAACCCCACATGATTATATTAGCATTCAAAATTCTAATTGTTTGAAGTTTATGGAAGTTTAAGCAATAATTCAGAAACCTTTTCAAGTAGAATACCCACATAATATTTACATTAATCAAAATCATCATTAGCCTCATTGTGTGGAATGGACAGATTTATATACCAAAAACAAAACTGAACAAAAACTGAATTCCACCTTTTTAGCAGGTAAGTATTTAAAATGGCCATTTACAAACTAAGTATCAACAAAATATAGTATGGACATGCTGATCACCAGCTGTACCAACGCTGACTCTTTATGTTAAGGAGAAGGATTTGTAGAAATGGTTTATCTCCCTCTAGTTAAGGAATCAGCAAATGTGGTTAAAAGAGAAAAGAAAGAGAGGAAAAGAACCAGTTTAAGAGTCAAGAAATTTTGGTCCACAGTGCCTCGTAAATACTGTGCCATTTTTGACAAATCATGTAACTTCTTTTGGCTTCAGTTTCCTGTTCTGCAAATTCATCAAGTGGAATTGATAATGTTGAAAGTTGTCTGTGGCATGAACTCTAGCTATTTGTGAATGAAAAGTGATCAGAGAGTCTCAATTATGCACACTGAGACATATCAAATAGTGGGTATTCCAAAATGAAGTCCAGCATGTTTTGATGAAATCCAAGATTTTTGAGTTGAATTACCTTTCTGGTTGTCGAGATCAGAGTAAAAATCTAACACAGCAGGACCACACCAGAGGCACTGGTACCTATCCTGATGGGCCAAGACAAAACACCTACTTTTTGGAGAGTTTGGGTAGGCCACTATGGGAAGGGTAGAAATCAAAGATGATTTGGAGCCAGTGAAGAACCCAAATAACTTAGGTAGAGGGCCATGTTTGGGGACCCCTGTTCAACCCAGTCTACCTGTCAATGTCTACCTGTCTCAGATGCCAGTGCACAGGTGGAGTACCTGTTGGCCAGGTATACTATTACTCATCACTTCATTCAGATCTCAGAAGAACATAGGGATGCTTATTTGAGGATGCTGATATGTAACCCTCTGCTAAGTATAAAAAAAAAGCATTTTGTTTTTCATATTTTGCATCTACATCCAAGTCTCATACGCTCTACCCCATTCTTCCTGTCAATCAATACTGTAATGAAATGGCATTGTCATATTATAATAGTGCTTCTTTGGAGATTGTTCTAATTTTTTTTTAATTGAAAAGAATTAAGAGCCATATTTCAAATAAGGTGGGCTTGGGTGGGGTGCTGTCTTGCGAGATGAAGGATAGCTAGGGAGAGGTCACTGAACTCATGCAGGATGCAACCCTAGAAGATTAGAAACAGAAATATGGAGCAGAAATAATATCTAAAAGGTGAACAGTCTTTCAACTTATAAATAAAAATTGGTTCAACATTTATTTATTTATTTATTTTTATTTACAAAGAAAGAAAATGACAAATACGATTACTTAGAACTTTTGCTTGATGTTGGACTGACCATGACCACCTTCCACATGTCTGACAGACTCTGTTCTTTCTTCACCTGGGAATACTAAAGAATTAGAAGAATGAGATAAACAATGAGGCGGGTTTCATGTTGACACTTTAATATAATATAATGCAGCAAACTAGAGCAGTAAATCAGCATACTTTTGGCATAGAATGGAAATTCCCAGTGAAGTTCAGTAGAAATTATGGGAACTTTCAAGGTTTTTAGGTTTTTACAATTTATTAATACACATACACACACACACAGAGGCATATGCATACAGGCGAAATAATTCCTCAAATCTACAGATGCCTCATTTAGCTGTTTCGCAAATTCTGTTATTCAGGAGCACAAATATTTTGAAAATGCTGAATTTTTCCGTATATTGGAAAAATAGGTATCTTAAAATACTTGTTTGTGTGTTTTATGGGACATTTTAGAAAGTACATATGGAACACAAATAATCTCTAAAAGGTGAACACTCTTTCAACTTATAAATAAAAATTGGTTCAATATTTATGAAAATTTATTGTAAAACTTCAATTTGGTGCTATTTTTAAGATGTTGCAGTCTATAAATGAAGTTAAAATTGCTTTAGCTCTCTGTACATTTTGCCAAACAAAACAAAACAACTTTCCCCCAAAACATACAAAACCTGCAAGACACCTAACTATCTGAATGATGGATAGATTTCTTTAATGTTCAAGTGGAAATTGTGATGTCATGTTGCTAATAACACCTGCTCCTCATTGGATACCTGCTGTGGGTTGGGCAGTGAATATGTAACTTGTAACATTCTTACAATGTTCTCTTCAAGTAAAGGCCACCAACAGAATACTGGCTGAAGACATGAAGTGACCTTTTCAGATCCTGCATATAGGATGATAAATCAGAAGACTATAAATCTCATAATCCTCTGTTTACTTACAGCTACTACATCAGGATTTTTGTGTTCAGGTAGCTCAAATATAATAAGAATAAGTAGGATTAAAATCATCTGTTTTAAATGGTCTATAACCTTTCTTTTTAGTGTTATAAAATGTTCAATTGGTACAAAAAGACAAGTTACTTCTTAAATCACAAAACATTATAATAAATAAATCCTATATCTTCATCCAACTTAAGAAATAGAATTTTGCTCACACTGTTAATGTTATTTCAGTATTTATGCCTATCTTTCTGAACCACAGATAGCTATTAATCTATTGTATTTTTAAAAAATATTCCTTTTCTTTTTTTACCACTTTTGAACTTGTTTTCTGTTTTTATAAAAATGGAATATTTGTATTATTTTTCAGCTTTCTTTTCCCCTTTAAAATTGTTATGAGGATTTGTCCTCATGGATATACATTTATGATTCATTTGTTTTCATTGCTATAAAATATTCCCCTTGTCAATCAGAATTTGTTTATTCAGTCTTTTGTTGGACATTTTAACTGCTTCTAGAATTTTTGTCTTTGAAGAATGCTCCATGAACACTCTAACATGCCTGCTCTTTTACTCTGGTATAACTAAAATAGTTGGCTACTAGGCTAGCCATATAACATATTTTCAGTAAGTAATGCCACGTGGAATTCCAAAATAATTTTCCCACAATGACATCTTTATAAATGGTAGCCTAAACCTCTGATAATTCTCTCCTCCATAAAAGCAATGACAAAACTGGCAAAAGTTGTCAGGATGATTTTTTCTTCAAAAATCTGGAAATTAATGAAAGGACCACAACAACTCAGTAAGTGCATTTCAGAAAACAAACTGACTGAATGTTAATATGAACAATGAGCTTTGTGGTGGTTTAAGTCACCCTGTTCCCATCTTTCCCTTTACAGTACCACAGTAAACTTAATAAATAACAGTCTGCATTCTCAGTGAAAACCAGTAATTTGGTAGTCTCCAGAGGGGATATAATGGGATTGGAGCATCTTCAAAGTCTCATTCCTAAATAATTGTCATTATTTGTCCTGTCTGGTGCTTCCTTGCAATACCCACTTGCAAGACTGTCTTTATTTGACTGCATGTGGGGTTCATGCAGAAGCACATGTTGAAAAAAATAAAGGTAATTGATAAACTTTGCCTGAGGTGATGGATAACAGTGGGGTAAATAGTGGACAACCAAAAGCTTCAGTGGAAAAAC